AATAAACGTGCACCCGAAGTAACTCCACAGGTAGAAGTGTCATGGGAAACTGAAAGAAGAACCTAATGACTTTCTTCTCCGATGTCATAGAAGCTGTACCCTGTGGAGCGATGTGGAGCGGTCATAATTTTTTGATGTCGCTGATCACGTTCAGATATAATTGGATAATCTTTAGCAAGACTTTCCATACCGTGCCATAGTAGCTCGTTAAACCAAGGTCGATGCTACTACCAGTAAAATTCACCGAGTTCTGCAAACAATCGCAGTTGCAACTTCTTTATTTGCCTCTTGTCGCACTGGTTTCATTCCTCTACCAGGTCGAACTTGTAACGATCCTTTCACTTAAGGATTGTGGATCATCGATTTCATTGCTTTATTCAACAGCATTATACGCAGTTATGACCAGTTCGAAACTGGCAAAGAGCAATGTATTTACAACGCAACACATTTGTTCTTCAATAAGTCCAATGTCGTGACATCAGACTTACCCAGTTATGCATATTTAACACAAAGCAAACACAGTAGTGAGATTTTGCAAATAAAGTCTGCTCCGAAATGATGAAGCTACTTTCAAATAATGACAGGTAAATTTCATCTCATGTAGCTATATAAGCCTATGTGTGAAAATCAACAGTATACAGTAATGAAATCACCTACAAAATAAGAAAATAAAACAAATTCTCAAACTTTAAATAAGAGCCACAAATAGAAGCCTTTGGCATGAGCTAAATACATGACATGAGGTGAATTAATAAATATGGAGCAGTGAAAAGTTCTTTAACAGGGATGGGCCAGACGTCTGGAGACGCTATTGAGACGATATTAGGACAAAATGAATTAATTCATTAAAGACGACAGCAAGATGGTCGAAGTATTATGGTATAGATGCATTTCGATCGAATGGTATGACAAATTAGCTTTTACCTCTGGTCTTATTATTGCTGTAGTATATCAGCAAGTTTTAGATAGTATTTAATTCCATTTGCAAAAGAAATTGCATAGAAATTTTTCCAATTTTAACAAGATAATGCATCTACTCATAATATAAAATTATCTTGGGAGTAGTTTTTGGCAAATGATATGTCATGGGCTGGTCCCCATGTTCTCCTGATGGTAATGCTATAGAAAACATGTTTGCTAAGATACAAGATGTAACGTGATACATGTTATATGTTGTATGTGAGCAGTAGGGGGCCACTCGGTGAACCCTAATGACCACTTAATCTGCACGGGTTGGGAAGACCCGTACTCGGTTGTCGGATGGCATAGGAGGGCTAAAGATATGAGTGGGGAGGAGTCGGAAGTCGTGACCAGGTGTCCAATTGACTACACAGGTTTAAATAAATAACACATTTAATAAACAAATAAGAGATTATACATATCAAAGACAATAAATATAACGCACGCGTAATATAATAAAAATGTATCCTATATTCTAACCTAACCTAATGCTAAAGATCGAAAGAGTCCTCACGTTGGAGAGAGATAATTATGGCAAGGGTTTACCTCGTACGAAACGCTTTCTTATTATAGGGCGTTGATGAAACATTCTGTGATCGTCGTCTTCTAATCGAAGTGCCCTTGGACAGCTATGTGGAGCGATGTCTTTTGAAGACCGTTCGGCTAAGTCCGGTTACGGTGTGTGCTCCGTTGCTCCTAATCTGTAGAGTCCTTCCAGGCTCGGAGGGTTTTTCTGTTAACCTGTTCGAGGAGTAATTCCGGCATATGTGGAGAGAGTAGAAAATATTCAAAGTCTTTTTACCTTGTCTGGAGCGGCGATTATGAGCTTCGTTGGAAGAGTCCGCTTCGTTGTCTCTTCCCTGACGATCGCCGTCGAGGTGTCAGATCGTTCCCCTTTTACACCCATTAGCGTGGGAAAAATCTGGGATCTCGTTGACGTATTTCCCTCGTCGTAGAAAAATTCATTACCTTATTTCAGTGTTTTTCAACCTTTTTCATTGAGTGGCACACCTAATTGAAAAATAACAAATCGTGACACCCTTGACCAGCGGCGGATCTACAATCTGAATAAGGGGGGACTAATGGGCCAGATGAATTTTTTGCAAAAACGAATATTACGCGCAACGCAAAAGTGTTTCTACGTGTTCAAAATCAAAATTTAAGTTCATTGAATTTTATCGAAATACCTACATGTAAAATAATAGTCTCGCTATTGTTTTATAAATATACTGATAGTTTTATTATCAAATATATCATCATTTTATATTATCATTTTATTGATAAACAATTTTTCTTAAGTTTTTTTATACTATTTTAATGCATATATAAAATAAATATTTCCTTACTTTTTTCTTATCCTTTTCATATCAAATTTAAAAAATTAAATTAAAAGAATAATAAAAATTGTTTATTTGTCATACTATGAAAATACACTACTTTGTGATTGAATACATAAATATGCACCTACTTTGTGATTGAAACCACACGCTTTTCAAAGTACAATGCAACGCTTTTTAAAGTATATACAAGACACAAATGTCCAAATCGTTCTTCTCTGGTGGTTGGCCCGGTACTGGGACTGGGAACGTGAAGGCCAAGCAATGTGGCTTGAGCGAACTCGTGACAGGTCATGCGTACACGTAGCGTAGAACATTACATTAACATTAGATTAGTCATAGTTTCTTTGCTTACTAGATATCTCGTAGCAAAATAGAACTGACAATGAGTTATCTTGAACTACACTTAAGCAAATTTCCAAGAAAATGTCTAAAGGCTCTAAACTTTGCGACACCCCAATCGTGGCGCCGTGGCACCCTAAGGTGCTGCGGCACCCCGGTTGAAAAACACTGCCTTATTTGGTCATTTGTCGTCGGGTCGCTCGGACTTATGAGGGGGTTACGGGACATCGTGGTCCCTCGTCGATGACCTTGATGACTAACCTCTCTGCCTCGTCATACGTTTTTCTGTAGCCTATTGGATATTTATTTAAACGACGCAGTTATCTCGTAAGCAAGCGATCCCCTGGAAGGGGTGGTCCCTCTTCGGACGACGAAAGTCACCCTCGCTTACTACGCAGTTAGTGTGAAAATAAAAAATAGCGTCCGTATTCTCACATTGTATTTTAATAAATAAAGTATATAGAAATGGGAAGCAATAGACATCAGTGGAATTATTAAAATGGCATTAAAACTAATGCTTGGCACAAAATCACAAATAAAAAAGATGAAAAATTCTTAGCAAAACAATGCCACTATTGTAGAGCTATAAATTCCCACCGTCATGTCTGTCAGACCTTGCATAATGTCAAGATAAAATTTAGACGAAATCCAAGACAAGAAGGTGGAAAGAGAAGGAGTAGTAAGCCTCAATTAACTACACAGAAACTTCCGATCTAAAACGGAAGTAGGTGAATTCAATTTAAACATTTTCTCCTAAATGGTGTTAGATAACCGGCACTATTTCTAATAGAAAAAGTATGATATACAAAGGCAAGCCATTACTAATTTGAGGTGGAGAGCATATATACCAAATTAAATACATAAAAAATATGATAAAAATTTCAGCCCGGCACTATGACCATGTCACAATATATAATTGCTCGTTGTGTATTTAAAGATACGAAATCATTTGTTATTTGTGAAAAATTCATACGTAATTCTTCCTAAGATAGAAATAATAAAAAAATATATTTAAATATAGATTAAAATATGTAGTTAAATATGATATTTTTGCTATTTATTTTTATAGATTTTAAAGAATTCTAATTAATTTTATTGTTGTTTAAATACACGTGTATTTAACATGAATTTATAACAGTCTGTGACACTTGAATAGAGTGTGAAGTATATTAAATTAGTTTCATTTATTGAAGTGAACGTTAAAAAGAGATTAAGAATTAATGCAGTTATACTGCTAATCGTTTTCAATATCATTATTTTTTGTTTTAATTGTCTTAGGGAGTTTAAAATCAAAAACGAAAATACAGGATTAATTGCAAACGTCAGTTATTTTTTTTATTTTTTAAACAGTTAATATTTATACAGGTAACTCCCGTATAACACGGCACTTCTATAGCACGGATTCACTCTAACGCGGTTCGAGAATTGGGTAAAACCCTCGTACAACATAAAATGTAATAAACTTTTATACCTTCGCCTAACTCCGCACAAGCATTCTAATTGTTTTCGTAGCTACTTTGAATGCTCTTTCAACAAATAATCCATTTAATAGTTAAATTTTACAATTGGCACCCTTCTTTTGTTTCTAAAATCTCATTATAGAATTATAGTTTCCACACGATGCTATCGATAGTGCGGGCTCCGCCATCTTTCTTTCACCGTCGTTCCTAAATGCCTACAAACAGAAGCGCACTCCCGTTGCAGAGCGACCGCTATTAACGAACGCCCCCACAAACTGTTACCAGTTGATGATACTCATGCTGAAATTATCATATAGGATGAATAATCCTCTGTTAAAATATTTACTTAAATAACAAATAAGTATTTTACCTATGAAAAAAATGAATAATAAATCCGATTTAAATAAGGATTTAACAACATGTGTTTTTAATTTTTGGAACCAAACCCCCTTTTCACACTAATTCTTTGTTTCGTATAACACGGATTCGCATAACACGGCAATTTTTTGGAACGTAAGTCCCATGTTATACGGGGGTTACCTGTACATATACGTTTTGAACATTTACTAATTAGTCTAGAAATCCGTATTGAGTCATTACTTTACCGAACATTCGGTAAAGTAGTTGAATAATAAGAAAATATACAGTATATAGCACATTGATTTATTGCAAGATAAATTCTTGGATAAAATTACAAATTATAGTATGAACAAAAATGCCATCGAATTATCGAAAAATAACAGATTTAATATATAAACTTGATAAATACTCCTAATAAATCAGGTCCAAAATATAACCACCCATAACTACTGTATATTTATAAATACAAAGCTTAGACAAATATGAATTTTAATTTGTAAATAGAATAAAAACTGTTTTCCCATCCGTACATGGTAATCGTTCGTTTTATCGTGTATGACATCCAAAAATTAAAATGGAACAACACATCCTCATACAATCTAGACCATGCACTCTTCTGTCATCTCTTTGCATTTGCAAAAAAAAATATCTTGGCCGAAAAAAATGTGAAATTAATTAGGATATGACATATACTATTTCAGAGTAGCCACACCTAAAAACAGAAAAAATATTCCTCTGGGTCATCCACAATCTGGTTTGAGATGCACTTACTCCGACGATCCATCTCGACCGTGCATCTCAAATCAGGGAGATTACGTTGAAAACTACAGATAAGTTTACTTTAATTCAGTAAGTGGATCGCGATTTTTTTCCATTTACAGAATATCCCTAACCTTATTTAAGCTAACTTTATGTTTGCCTAAACTTCGTATTCTCTAATTTAATTTAGAAATTGAGTTTCCAATGTTTATATATTAGTAATAAAAACTTCACACAACGTATATAAGTCTATTATATCGACATAAAATTCAGCCCATTAAATCATTTTATTTTTCAGAAGTAATAATGATAATGTCATACGCATATGCCTTAAAACCTCACCGCCGTTCAATATACATTCTTATTCCATATTTTGATCGCAGAACGATATCTGAACTTTCGAACATTTTGTCGCGAGGATTCACTGAATAAACTTTAAAATTTCGAATGACGTTGGCCAGGACAGTCTTCATCTCCATCGTGGCGAATTTTTGACCTACGAAAATTACATTTTAGTAAAAATACGATAATTGTTTTTAGAATGGATTAATTTTTCTCACCGATGCAATTACGTGGACCGGCAGAAAAAGGTAAAAATGCGTACGGATGACGTTTCTGGAAATTCTCTGGAAGAAATCGATCCGGATGGAAAATTTCTGGATTCTCGTAGACGGTCGGATTGTGATGAAGTGCGTGAATATTTATCATAATGGAAGAGTTTGGTGGTAATATAATGTCTCCTGCAAGACCAAAATACACTACATGTTGTTATACATTCATAAATTCTTAAAATTAATACATGCTATATACAATTGCATATACGAGTACATTCATTTTTAGAATACTTGCCTACTTTCATTTCTGAAATGTTTCTTCTGATAATTAATGGAACAGGTGGATAAATTCTGTTCGATTCCTAAAATGATAAAAATCCAGCAACGAGTTACCTAACTTTCCAGGCAAGAAATATTTTAAACAAGAAACATATTAGCAATACTTTCAAAAATTGTGTGGCGTCATTCGTTACGAGATATTATTTGAAAAATTAACTATCGTATTATTAATTACAAGAAAACGGCAAAAGGCTTAGTTTTCAATGTAGACATGAGTTATTATTTGGTAAAGTAAAAATTTCCACCAGTAATCGAAATGTTTTTCTTGAAAATTTCTACGAACATTCTGCCATTTTTAAGCTTAAAACTGTAAGAAAAAAATCGTGCTTTACTTACATGCTAACATCTAAAAACACAAAAAAATGTCCAACTTTTTTGCGATTTTCGACGTTTCGAAATCTCCCGAGTCCAAAAGAATAAAACTCTTGTAAATCATTATTGACTAATTGTCATACTTCTCCTCTATTATATATCAGCCGAAAGAGTGAAATATATGGTTCTAAGCCTATTCTTTTACGAAAAACGTTTACAAGAAACCAACTACAATAATACCTTAATTACACATTCCAAGTAATTCATCTTTCTTAAGTCTTCTGTATTTATCATTCTATCTTCCTCTTCAGCGAAAATCCCTTTCAATTCTTCAAACACCTTTTCTTGAATGTCTTGATGCAATCCTAAAAAATATAAAGTCCAGCCGATACCCACGGTTACGGTATGGAATCCCTAATTTGAAAATTAGAAAAGCGTAAAAATAAATAAAAAGATTTATAACTTTTTCGTTCGAAGTGAATATTATTATTTACAGCAATCATAAATGTGTCGACTTCCTCTTTGACATCTTTTTCAGAAAGAGTTCCATCTGTCAGGTGATGAAACAGAAGCAAATCCAGAAAAGCTCTTTTCTTCTTTATTCCTAAAGTCTTTTCCTCTCCTTGAAAATCATCCATGTGTTGAATTCGTTTGATTAATTCTGTTCTTTCTTTGATTACCTGAAAAATAATTCGAAAATTAAATTTTATGGATTTGATAGAGTGAATCGAAGGCTTACCTTTAAGTGAAGTTGATGAACTATTCTTCTACACTTCTTGATGACTTTTATCAATGGGTAGAAGTAAGAGAAAGGACGTAACCAAAACCAAGGTTGCATAAATAAATCAGCAAACTTTGATGTAACCCTATATTTTAAAATGTAAATAAAGATTGTAAGGAATTTTTAAACTGTTTTCCCCCTAATACGATTAAAAAAGCCTTTATCGTTATGCTCATAGAGGATGGAACTGGTCCCACAATGAGGTATGAAGTGCTACGAATCTCAGCAAAATATCCCGAAAAATCTATGGGTTTTATCGATAACATACAGCATAGCAGCAGCGGACAAATCTTTCTGATCACAAATATGTCAACCTCGTTCTATATTGTAGCAGTCTTTTATATATTCTGTGTGAACCGAGGTGATAGAGCGCCGAGCTTGTACCCACTTATCGGCTTCTTTGTCAGAGATGGTCTATGTGGTAAACGAATAGAAGGGTGAGCGAGGTCATGACATGGTGTCGGCCGTACTCAAGAAGGACATATAATTAACCATGAAATATACTACAAAAACGAATAGATACAAAAGATGAAAATAGTCAAAAATTCTAGGTGGCGACAATGATTACTTCGTTCTTGTTGATAGACCGTCTAAGTTCTAGACCTTTATCTGTCCTAATATTCTCTAAGTTAACTAACCTTAATCTTGCTTAAAAGTGAGACGAGAGACTCGACAGAGAGAGAGAGAGAGAGAGAGAGAGAGGGAGAGGGAGAGAGGGAGGGAGGGAGGGTGAGAGAGTGTGTGTCTAAATAATAGTCTAAAATAATGCCTCTTGGTTCCGATCTCTTCATACGGGAGGTTGGCGAAACGTCTCCGATCGGCGAGTTGACCATTGGCGATTATGGCGAGGTAGCGACGGACAGTATGGCGTTATGGGTCTGATAATATCCGCCCCGGTGTCCGTGTCCAAGCCCCTTTTATAACCGTCTTCGGCAGAGCTGACTAATGCTAGGTATGATGCAACCCAGTGGCGTAGCGTGGATGTCAGCCGCCCGGGGCAAAGAAAAAATTCGCCGCCTTCTTATTTAATTATCTTAATTTAAAAGACTAAAACTCAGTTTCGTCACAGAATAAATAATGAAAAATTCCGTGCTAGTGTTGCCACCTTTTTAAAATCGCTGACCCGGACGGCAGGTGAGGTTTGTTCTAACAGAAGTTCCTATCATTTTGCAATGCGAAGAATAATTTGCAGTGCATGCCGGTTCTAAGTCAGTTACAGTTAGCGACTAGGGAAACATGGATAGGAGTAACGCAAGCGCTCTATTAAATATTGGAGATGTACATGATTACGAATGAATCGTACAAGGAAAAAAAAGGTCGACAGGTTGCGCACGATATCCCCGGACGGCGAGTCGAATGGTAACACTATTCCGTGCTCATTTCAATCGGTTCGAATCGTAGGTGTTCGAAAGTATGAAATAAAATGGTTCAAATTCTTACAAGATATTATTATTGTTTATTGTCAAATTTTGCTGCCCCCTAAAACGTAATTTTGCCGCACCCTAAAAAGTGCCGCCGCCACCTACGCTACGCTACTGATGCAACCCGTTCTAAGTTTGATTTGTGTCTGAGTTTTGTTTATGTTAATTGTTGTTTATGTTATTACCTCTTTTTATCCATTATGATTATTCATTCTACCTCATAAATTTTATACCAGATGTCAAACCAACTGAATTAATTGCTGGAGGTGACTAAAGTCAGAGTTTGTCTTGCAACCTCAGTAATAATTGTTCCTTATATGGCCCTCTTGCTCGGCTTTATCGTTCACAAAATCGGAAAAAAGTAGGAAGTGTGTGGGTTTTGTTTTTCCCTTTTCGACTTGATTTTTTGATCCGATTTCTACGTCTTAAAAATTATATTCTTAAGTTATTTAATTAATTTTTTCTAATTACTTCATTTGTGTGTTTCACTCCCCCTCCAGATTCTCACATTACGTTCAAAGTCCTACTCTATTTATTTATACACTAGTGGAATAGAAACACCCTGACCCCAAATCTTAAATAATAATGGTTTCAAAAATATAAAGAGCCCAAAACAGAGTCTAAAAGAGTCGCAGTTTTCCCTTCCTAAATGCTTGTAAGGGATAAGGACAATCCCAGAGCCGGATCTAAGTTTTTCGGTGCCTAGAGCTTATTGAATAGGGCTCCTTACAAGAAAACAGTCCAATGCGGCTCTGTTTACAATAAAACAAATAATACTCTAAATTATTATATTATTAATATTAACTATTTTTTAATATACGATAAGTGCTCATTGTTAATAAAAACGTATTAAAAATTGATGATAATAATTCAATTATTGTGGGCCTTCGACACTTGGGGGAAGGGGTTAAGCCCTATTCGTCCCTATGCAAAGGAATTTACCTTTTCGTTTCGTTAGTATCATTTCTCGAAAAGGCGTGATCTCGAATACCTTTCGGTCCCGGTGACATATCAATACTATATAATTAATTTCTGATTAATTAAGTCATATTCACGAAATTTACTTGTAATTTTAGTCACTTACCGTTCGACAGCTTGTACATATTCGGTGTTGGAATCATCTTGAGCGTTTATATGAATCCCCATTGCAGATTCTGTCAAATAAAATTAAATATATACCATTGTTTACAGAAATATAATTACTGAAATATAATCTCACCCGCAATTACATCCAAAGTGCAACGTGAAGTTAATTGAATTATGTCAAACACCTCGGATTCACGTTTATTTTTTAATTTCTGCACAAAAGTTTCCGACTTTCTATAAAAGATTTCTTGGAAATCTTCGAGAATTCGAAAGTGAAATGCAGGATTTAACATCTTTCTTCGTGTCTTCCATTTGTTGTAAGAGCTGTTTTTAATAACAAAAAATGAGAAATTTTGGAAAACAACAAAATATTAGTGAATAAAAATTTTTAAAATAACTTTTTGGCTCTTATTACCTAGTAATGAGTCCTGTTCCGATTAAAAAACGGAACTTATTATAAAAGGTATCTTTGTTAATCGTGTTATAACTTTTCAATACTTTCTGCAAGCAAATAAACGACAGCAAATTAAATACAGACATTTGTGCAGAATAAATTAAAGAACTAATTCCTACTTCAATTGTTTCGGGATGAGAAAACAGAAAATAATTACTTCCGTTGACAGAAATTTTTATCGCTTTTTCCTTTGGATTTATCAAGCAAAATCCTTCTAACATTTGAAGAAGATCTTTAACAACACAAAATAAATCAACGTCAATTCAGAAATTATATTGTAATAATTATTATTTGATTAATTATTTAAATCAACTTACACACGTCAATAAACTTTTTATAGTTTAGTGCTTTACTAGGACAAAAGATTAAATTCCATAATAATTGATACGTGAGGAATCTGAAATGTGTTTGTCTTCCTTCATTCGCTTTCGTCTGGCATTTCCAGCTCTTAACCGAGAGGTAAACAAAGATTAAAAACACTGCGACTAATGCAAATACGAATTGCTTTTCGAACAATATTTCCATTTTCGTTCTTGTTGCTGTTATATTATAACAATTTCTTAATCACCAATTGCGAATAATTAACAATTAAATGCATTAAAGCATAAATAATTAAAATGTTACATGGTTAAAACATTTTAATTTTATTTTAATAATCTAAATTGACAAATTGATTCAGTAGACTTATATTAGCTTACACTCGGTGCATATTCTAACATACAACTGGACAAAGCCCGTGTAATAAGCATTTTAAGTTGTGTAGTGAGAATCCTATATTTAGCAGTAATTAATTGTTCGATTCCAAGTTTTATAAGTATTTTTTCCTGTTTATGTTAAGGTTAAAAAACAGAAAGATAAGAAAAAATAGAAATAAAAAATGATTTTCTAATAAATATAGAAAACATCAGTCTATTAAATTGTATGGCAGACATTTTATATATGTTTAGTAGATCTGCAAAGTGATACTAGAAATTAAAAAAGAGAAACAATTAATTTATTAAAGAAACGTATTTACTTCATTGGGATGTTGGATCAATGCTGTTCGCCCGCCATCAGATTAGTAGTAATGCAGAAAACAAAAAATTTAACACTGAAAGGAGTAATGATTAAAATACGTTTGACAAAAGAGACTCTTTGATAATTTTTTTAAACGATAAATTTAAGTCTACAAAAATATAACAGATTTTAAGAACCTTTTTTTTTTTGTTGTTTAGAATTCATCACATGTTAAGAAAGTTTATAATATTTTACGGAGAACGTGGATCTTTTTCAATTAGGAATGACATGTGCTGAACTTCTAGAGCATTCATGAGTACAGAGAACTGTTTAAGTGCTATTATACTGAGCATTTTATGGGAAAACGAAACTGAGCTCTACGTCGTAAGTTTTATTGTTCAGATTGATACAAATCACGTATATGCTGACCTGCTTGTAACGTTATGTCTAAAGCAATTTGAAAGCCATTTATCAATCTTTGTGGTGTGATATTTAGTCCATGAACAAAAAAAGACTCTATTTGCGACTCTTATTAAGAATGGGGATGTTTGTTTCATTTTCTTATTTTGTAGATGATTTGAAAATTCTGTATACCGTTGATTTTGACACAAGAATGGCTTCCACAATGTAATTATTATTCCTTTATTAGAGTTATGTCATTACTTCACTGTGGCTCTATTATTTAGGAACAGACTGTATGTCCAAAAACTCACGTTTACTGGCGTGCATGTGATTTAAACTTAAAAAAGGCAAACTTACAATAGACCCATAGTCTTTTGAAGCGAATTTTGGCTTCCAATATCTAAACTCATAGATCGAATTTCAAAAATCTCATAGTCCACTGTCTCAACTGGCAAAATGAGAAAGGTGTCAACAAGAGAAATTTTAAATAGAAGAAAACTAAATAATTGCAATTAAAGTAATTTCTATCAACCAAACACTTAACATTGCTCCACGGGACTGCAAATTTACTATGAATTAATGCGGTTTCTTGTATCAGATAATGTCATAATAGACTTTGGCCTTAGGGGTGCAATTGAAGTAACATCAAAGAAACAAAAGATCGTTGATAGAAAGCGGAAAATACTACTTCAATATTGGTGTATAGTAACGTGTAGCAAACGATGTCAAGAATATTATACTACAGATTCACCATCTTCCATCAGTCGCGCAAACAATAGAACATTCGTACCGATACACAACTATTTTAGGGAATTTCTTTTTCTTATAGATTGAAAAGAATCGTTTTTGTTTTAAGGCCTAGCTGCAGAGATTGTATAATACATTTAATAAAGATAAATAAATGTGAAAAATATAAAACTAAATTAACTTCTTACTTACGTACACACTTTTGTTTTTGTAATTCTTTCAATACTATCGATCAGTATATTTATCTTCGTTAGAATTTCCGTTGATGCTGCATATATATCCTCGTTAACATAACAAGTGAAGGCTATTTTCTATCTTAAAAATAAATCTCTCTTTTAGAGAACGAGGATTTTATCTGATAAGATTCCATAATCTTGAAAGAAATGAGATTTCAAGTATTTTCTCTTCTCTGAAGGTTAATCGGTGCGTGGTCAGTCAGGCTTGACTAATAACACGCAATTCATTTTTAAAATAATCCTTAAATTAAGGAAAACTTTAACACATATTCGTCGAAATGAAAATTAGCACGAATACAACGAAAATTGCGAGGGCCGTTGAATGGGTGAGACCACTGTCGCAACTGGCAAAATTAGAAATGTGTCAGAACGGGTAATTTTCAATAGAAAAAAACAATAAATAAATCAAATGAGGTCGTGTGTATCCACTGTAAACTTTATAAATAGTTCATACAATACTGTCATTTTTGTACAGCGGAATACTATATAAGGTTTTCAACATTGCATGGCTTTGAACATTGCTTTTCTTTTGAAACTCGATTTTCTTTGGGCAGAGAGTTAAAGTGCATAAGTCATCGACACAAATAGGTTCTTTTTGAAATATAAAATCTTCTAATAAAATATTTTAACCGGGATATAATTAAAAACTTTAAAAATTAACAAATAAATTTGTCCTTGGACCTAAGTGTATGTGTCCTTTCTAGTTATCCTTTCGAACACCTTCAAGAAATAAAAACTTCATCACCGGAGACGATCCTTTTTTGAGGCTACTATTTTTGACCGAATGCCTTTTGAGATTAACGTCATTAATTATTCGTGTTGTGAAATTAATCTCTCGAAATTTCTGCTGTTTTTAATTACTTTTCTATGAACAAAGATTAATTGTTATCAGAAAAGTTTTTCTTTAGATTGAAAAAGTTTTTCATATTCTATTGTTTAAACCAGTGGTTTTTAATTAGTAGTACGCGTACCCTTGGGGGTACGCAAAATTGCGTGAAGGGGTACGCGTGGCAATCTAAAATCGGTCGATTTAAAATTTAAATGCATGAGATAAAGCAATCAAATAAATAACACAGGTCTTCAAAAAAATTTTTTTCCAGCTGCATGGAATATTTTTGCTAAATTATATGTTTTAAAGATCACAGATTCTAAAACTAACTTCCATTACATCCCATCATGTAAAGGTTTTTGCAAAATAAAAACAAATTTTTGATAAAACTCTTATAATATATTTAGTTCATTGTAATAAATATTTTCTTACAACTAATCAACAAATTGTTTCTGATATTTATACACAATTTTAGGTCTACTCTTTTTTCTTACGAAACCTTTTCTTCTTTTTGATGCTTCTCCAAACTCGTTTCCAATTTCCTTCTCTGGCTTCTGGATTGAGCATTCAACAGTAGTCAGCTAACGTATTGACATCCAATTTTTCTTTTCACGTCTCTCGATATTATGGACATCCTGGTGAAATCTTTCACTCTGTTCTTCATTGTAGGCCCCAAGTTTTCGGGAAAATAGTCAATATGGGAGTGTAAGAAATGAACTTTTAAGCTATCTCGCATCCTCGAAATTCATACGCTGCTGCCAGCATGCGTTGTACAATGGTTTGTAGTCAGGGTCCTTAGTATTCCCCAAAAACTTATGCACTACATTCTTGAAAGAGTCCCACGCTTCTTTTTCGTTTTCTCCTATTGTTTCCAGAAATCTGCTTATTCTCCATCTCCAAGTTTCAATTTGAAATATGCAAATAAACTTTTTCACAAACTCACTTATGTTTCTTTGTTAACTTTTCACTGTGTATTCACCACAAACATAACAGAAGCTGTCGGGAGAAATTACGCAATTTCTGCGAGCCATATTTCAGAAATAAAAATACAAGCACAGTAGCGTTCGAATGCTGGATATAAACTGAGTGTAGCATTAGATGGCCAGCGAGATACTGAACTTATTTAGCTTCTTGAAACACGATCTAATTCAACAGCGAGTTGTTTATATTTATTCCTAGTATCCCAGAAAACATATCGAAACATGCTTAACCTTACCAATAATATTTCTCACTATCAAATTTTTACCTGTTTCTATACGATCATGCGACCTTCCTCCTAACGCTAAAACTACTTAACCCAGTTCCCCCTACCACTACTCTCTTCAATCATTAACATTTTTATTTATTTATTACCAAGTCCAGTTATAATTGATAGAATTAATGTGAGAAGTCTTCGTTTTAAGGCTATATTTTAAATAAAAAGAAAAGAATAGTAAATTTTAAGTTAACTAGGAATTTTACGCTAAATACAAACAAAAACTTGAGTGTAACAAATAAATTGACGAAATGGAATTTTTTTCGTATTTTTTTCGTTTTTATCAAGTTGAAATTCGTAAGAAAATGTATAAAAATCCTATGCAGTATTTTACTTGCAGACCTGTTTAATGGGTGGACCATCAAAAATTCGGAAATTTTCAACACGATGTCGAATGCGCAAATTCGTTTATGTATAACTAAAAATATTCTCGAAATTTCATCAAAAAAATGCATTTGTGACGATACCTAAATGAAATTCTTATGCAAGAAACAAAAATTGTACAGTTATCATTATTATCGTGTCAGCGAAGCGGCAATAAAATTTTTTCTACCATTTTGCACGACATATTTCTGCGAGAGCGGATTTTCGGCCGTGATAAACATGAATCGTCACCGACTTCGACTCGAAAATGACTAGAGACTGAAGCTGACCAAAAACCAACCAGATTTTACAAAGTTGCGCAAAGAAAATCGTGCACATTTGTCGCATTAAAATTAAATAACCTTATGTTATTTTCATTATTATTAGAATCGTATTTTAAAGGTAATAAATGTAAAACAAAACTTATTTTTTTATCACTAGCTGTCTACCCACGGCTTCGCCCGCGTTATATCGAATTTTCTCGAGGGAGTAAGATATTTTCTCGCAGTAAAATGTAGCCTATATCCATCTCCAACGTGTAAGCTATCTCTGTGCCATATTTTATTAAAACCTGTTCGGCAGTTTAGACGTGAAAAGGTAACAGACAGACATACAGAATTATCTATGAATTTATATTAGTATGGACTAATATTAATTTCTGCTATAAGGGGTACGCGAGTTTGAGCTCTTTCTT